AAAAAGCAGGCAGAAGAAAGAACTCTGTTATCTATCTCTGGGATAAAAAAAAATAGGAGGGGAGCCTGGCTGGCATCCTGAAGATCTGAATGTCCTCTAGTCCCACCCTGGAGTGGTGCAGAACAAGAGAAACCGTGGCCCACGGGGGGTGTTTTTGGGGCCCTCTCACCCCTCACCCTCTACCTTTTACCACCCCCTCACCCCGTCACATCCCAACTCTCATCTCCTGTCCTCCCTAAGGGCCCATACCCTAAGCCTCACTACAGGGCAGGCCCCACCCGCTCCCCACACTCCTGATAGATCCTCCCAGAACTCTTCTTGCCCAGTCTGTCAGCGAGGTCAGCATCTGTGATGGTTTCACATCACTGCTCCCAAGGGTACTGAGTTTCAAAAGAAACCGGCTGACAAGAGCTGCAAAAGCAGGAAATTCCAATGACAGGATTTCAAAAGGCAAGAGTGATGAGGGCATTTCTGGGAAAAGGTGAGGGGGTGGGGAAGGAATGTATCCTGTTTCCTTGAAATCCCACCCACGAGGCAACTACATGTGCCCCTCATTCCAGTCCTGGACCTGCAGGACATGGGTGATGGAGGGGTGGTGACAACTTTCCCAGTTAAATGCTCAGAGTTCACAGCAGCATTAAAGTGAGGTGGAGGAAGACCAGGTAGACAAGAGGAGGTCAAGGGACAGTCATTCCAGCAAGTTGATGTGACTTCCATGCAAGAACCTGCCTCTGCTCATTTAGCCTAATTGTCAGTGTGCTTGAATCTTCACCAGCCCTCCACTGGCCACTGCAATCCCTTTGAGGTGGTTAGCCTTGGAAGAACAAAGGACATGACTGGAATTAAGCCGCACTCAGAAGTGAGCAGGGCTCTCGGCAAGCTAGTAGCATACTTCATGTCAGCCTCTTCCCAAAAGCTATGCGCGGAATCCAGACCACAGCTCTTGGTCCACTACGCAACACCACATGGATGGTTTTCCAGGTGATATATGGACTTGCCATAAAATTAATGAGCACAGCAGTTCCCAAGATCCTCTTACTTTCCTGCTTCCCCCTCACCTGGGAAGAAATATCACTTCAAAGTTAAGTACAAGCCCACCAACTTTGGAATGAGGAAACCTGCAAGCCTAAGATCTGTCTTCTCTTGACTGCTAAAAGTAGACATTCTCACAGAGCCTCAGGTATACTACTGCCCAGCGAACACTCCTCCCTACCTTCCACTTCTGCAGAGTGTACATCTCCACCCTTGACCTTAGGCTCAGCCATAAGATTTTCCTTGGCCAATTCAATACCCACAAACAAGATAAAGGTGAAGGGCATCACGGGTTCCACTTGGGTACAGATGGGCTTGTGTCCCTGGGGACTTGCCTTTCACCATGAAAACATGGCTCTGGAGGCTGCTGGTCCAAAGATGGTTAATGCAGAAGACCTGGACCTAACCACAGCTTGAAGCCAAGCCAAGCAGACATTAACAAGAGACTGTGTGCAGTAAGTGCCACTGACTCCTGGGACATTGGGGAACCGGCTGCCGGATAGAGTGCCCAACATGCCAGTAACCCCAGGGTTGGCTGTCTCCTCTGTTGAATCCTTGTGCCTCATCGTCAACCATGAGTGTTTGTTCATCAGGCACGTTTACTTTAGTTGAACAGAGAGTACTGAACAGCAAGTTAGAAGATGAAATTCTCCCATTCCTTCGAAGTGTCATCACCACTGCAGACTGACAAGTCCCACTCCAATGCCCCTGGGCCCACCCCCATCACAGGCACCAGCCTGCTGCTACATGTGCACCAGGGTGGCTGAAGCACGGGGCCCTGCCGATAAAGTGCCGGCTGTGGGCTCAGGGAAACATCCCCCACAAAGGAGTGCAAAGAAAACAGTCCCAGTGAATTACTGAAATGGATTTTTTTTTTTTTTAAATAGCGCCTTGCTCAGTCACTTAAGCTGGACTACAGTGGCATGATCATGACTCACTGCAGCCTTGACCTCCTGGGCTGAAGGATATTCCCACTTCAGCCTCCTGGGACTACAGGTGCATGCCATTATGACTGGCTTTTTTTTTTTTCTTTCTTTCTTTTTTTTTAGAGACAGGGTTTCCTTGTTGCCTGGGCTGGTCTCTTCACTCCTGGCCTCAAATGATCCTCTCGTCTCAGCCTCTCAAAATAGTGGGATTACAGGCGTGAGCCACCGCACCTAGCCTGAAATGGCTTTAAGCCACACTAAGTTTACACAGCAAAGTCCACCTAGCCGCTATTTCTCCACTTTTACTAGGTAAGACTGCCAGGTATAAGAATGTAATTTTCCAAGTAATCATTTTCCAAAACCTACACATCCACCCACAGCCACGCTTGTGGTCACGATCCTGTGGTCACACAATACACCTGGGGCTCATCATGAATGGGAGGCACCCTGAGTGGGAGAGGACACCCAAACCCAAGCACTGCCTGTTTAATTCAGAGTCAGTTCTGAGCTACACACGCGGAGGAGTGCAGGGTGATAAATAACGACAGTGTACACAAAAGTCTCAGGGAGGCATTTTCAATGGACCGGTGCCTGTCACTTAGTATTCCACGAACTGCTCAGAGATGGAGCAGCTGCCCAATGTCCTAGCAGAAGCAGGACTCTTCACAGGAGACACTAAATCTTAGGAAATTACACAGTCATAGTAATTGAGAACACAAAGTTGATTTCTATCACCAAGTCCAGGGTCACATAAAGAGCTGTAAATGAAATGACACTGGGAAAATAATCATTTCAAAATCCAGTCAAACCATTATCCACAAACCTCAGTGATCTTGATCCCAGACTCACATCCTGGTTCCTGTACAGTGAGGGAGAGGCCGAATGTGGCACATCCAAAATGCAGGGCACACCTGGCACAGATGCGGCTGAGATTGTGGGAACTGTTTCTAACTACATAATGAAGGCACAGAAGGCTGACCTGCCACCTCATGCCCCTTTCTCCAGTCCCACAGGCTCTGGACGTTTGAGGGACCACCAGCGTGGGGCTGACTTCAGCTTTATCCCAGCGTGAAGCATGGTGCCCACCATTTGATGGGTGCTCAAGGGAAGTGTATTGTTTCTGTCCGTTTGCCCACCACTCCTTACAGGGAGAAGCCAAGTTTTTCAGCTCAGGACTCCCCTTTCACACCCTCCCCCAAACACAAACCTTCATCATCTCTACTCTCTGCATCTCATTTTCTTTCCACATGAATTTAGATTGTTTTATTCTGCTTAACTATACTATTTGTATAAAGCCCCTTAGATCCTTTTAGGAAAAAGGTAGTATATATGTATATAAGACAAAACTGATTTTTCTAGAAGCAAAGCAACAGAGGAAGCTGAGATATCATGAAAACTGGAATAATGTGATTTAAAAAAACAAGCAAAAAAGGGTCTCCATCCGACTTAGATGTATTTGTCTGGTAACAGTTCAGATTTGTCCAGCATCTTAGCCCACAGCACCATGGCAAAACAATAACAATCATTTAGTTTCACCATACACACAGGAAACACACACAGGAAAGTCTTCTCCAGTTATTACTACATCTACTTTCCAGGTGGGAAAATACATCACTAAGTGGCTTGTACAAGGCCTTCCATGCAGCGACACCTGGGCTAAGGCTTCTTGCCTTCCCTGGGTCCTGGAGGACAGTCACAGCCTTCAGACGGGCCCAGACTCTGATAGTCACTCTCAGGCCATCACCCAGTGACAGCTGCTGTATCTATTAAGGGACACATATTTGCCATCAATGCCATTGATAGCTCAAAGGACAAATCCCATATCTATCTAATTATGACCCTTTTCTAGAACAAATAACTTTTTCTCCTTCTAAGACATGAGCGTATGCCACCTCCAGGGACGATCATACTTGCATATATGGTGATGTAAGAGAATGCTGGTGTTTTCTCAGGTCTTAAGTCAAATGTCTGCTCCAAAGGGCCTCCTAACTCAAACCCTCATGAGTATAGCCAAAGAATGCCTTCCACCACCTCTGGATCTGAATACCCCTTCCTGGGAAGAGCACTGTCCCCTGAATGAAGGGTTGCTGGGTTCCTCTGTCAAATGAGCCATGAAATCCTCTCCAGGATGGGAGACCAACTGGGGGCATATTCATCTCCCCTCACCCAGCTGCACATGACATGGGCTATAAATCCATGTCATGGCCATAGCCAAATAATGTCAGATTATAATGAATTTTCCTCTCCATAAACCTAGAGTGGACTTAAAAAACCAACCAACCTTGAAGGGAAAAGCTTAGATCCTATTACAAGCTCCCCGCAAACGCTTCAGATCCCTCTCACTGTGCCTCACTTCATAAACTGTCATTAACCCAGGGAAGCAGGTATGGCTGTCCGGGAGAGGAAGGGTACGCTGGCAAACAGCGAGATGAGGAATGGACCTTTTAAAAGGACACGCTAATCAAGCATCTAGACAACCTCGGCTAATCCTTGAACTTGGAAGTGCAACCGTCGCCCAGGCGAGACAGGAAAAGGGTAGATGCACAGTGGGTGCAGGGCACTCTTTGAGTGCTCATCAGCTGACTTGCACATTTCCTGCGATGCTTTCTAGTCAGCTAGGTCATCGGGAACAACCTACAACCCAGAATAAACAAATAAGGCCCCAATTAAGCTGCTGCCTTGGCCTATGGTGGATTTCCAGTGTCTGTCCAACTGAATGGAAGGTCACAGGATCCTCGTCAGGCCACATCGCACTCACAACCAGGCATGGCTCTGAGCAACTTACCAACATTATCACAAACATAAAGTGAAGCCTGGTGATCTGATTTCCCCTGGAGTATTCCTAGGCTCTCCCACTTCTCTGGATCATGAGAGAGGGTAGGGTGAATATCAGTCTCACATGGCAGCCTCTGTGGGCCTCTCTGTAGGCAGCAAAGTACGAGATAACCACATTTCACGATGATTGTGCAAAGCTTCATGAAAGATCAACCTTGGGCTCTTGCTGTGGTGATAATAAGGCAGACAAGCATGGAACACATTTTCTTTTTAATGATGGAAGCTGTTCTAAGTGAGATGGTCTAAGGGGACAATTTTACATTATTTGTAAAGGTCTAAGTCATATAAAGGCGCTATTATGGTAATTTACAAATATTACAGTATAAATGGTGCTTAGAACTAACTTTTTTATTGATGCAAACTTCATATAACATGAAATTAACCATTTTAAAGTGAACAATTCAGTGGCATTTACTACATTCACAATATTGTGCAGCCACCACCTCCATCTAGTTCCAGAACATTTGTATCACCCCAAAATAAAGCCCTACCCCCGTGAAGCGATTCTACTCCATTTGCCGCCTCCTCTCAGCCCATGGCAACCACCAATCTGCTTTCTGTTTCCATGGATTTACCTATTCTGGGAATTTCATACCAATGGAATCATACAGTATGTGACCTTTTGAGGCTGGCTTTCTTTGAGCATAATGTTTTTGAGATTCACACAAGTTGCAGCATATATCAGAATTTCATTTCCTTCCATGGCTGAATAAAAGTCCACGGTATGTACAGGCCACATTTTGTTATCCACTTATCCACTGATAGACACTTGGGGTGCTTCTACCTTTTGGCTACTGTGTAAATAGGGCTACTATGAACATTTGTATACTTGTTGGAACACCTGTTTTCAATTCTTTGGGGCACATCCCTAGGAGTGAAATTACTAGAATTCACTTTTGATATACAAAATAAATAAATAAAAAAACAAATGATAATATGTTTAGGACCAGTGAACTTGAAATCCCAAATCTGCATAATGTTTGTTCCAGGAATAATGACTTTTTAACTTTCTAAGAAATCCAGATCCTAGAAAATTTCCAGAACTACAAGTTGCCTTTGACGTATTACCAAAAATGATTTTCCTTGACATGACAATAAAGATAAGAAAATAGCAGTGATGTAATAACAATCACACCTAGAAGGTAATATTACTGAGACTCTCTTATAAGCCCAGCACTACACTAAGCATTATCCTTGCCAGCATAATTACTATTCCATTTTCCACAGAGAAAGTCACATAGCCCTAAACCAAGCACCAAATCCAGTCCTACCACGCCAGAGCCCACACTCTTCATCTGCTAGCCTACTTGTTTCCTTTCACATCAAGAAACCCCTTTAAAAGCAACCAATATTTACGCTGAGCCTGGTCTCAAGCAGCATATCTGGATTTTAGTCACAATCTGCACACCCTGTCACCATATGAAAGGTACATCTATGACCTTCTAAATGTGATTCCTACTACCGTGCAATGTGATAGATCCCATGCATCCCTTTCAACCTGCGTCCCCATCAGCAGATGTGCATGTTTAATGCCTATCGTCTTCTGAAGCCATAAGCTCTAGCAGAGGAGGGTTCTGAGCCTGTCCCACCACAAAACTCCCCGCCTGCATGATGCCTGGCACCTCACATGCACTAAACACATGCCCAGTGAGTGGGGTCTGCACTCACCTGGTCCTCCTCTGGCACATCCTGCAGGATCTCAGTTCTGCTTTCTCCCCACCTCTGTCCAGTCCCATATACCTCCTAGGGGTAGGCATAGGTCTTGTGGTCCCCCAGGAGACCTGTCTCCTCCTCATCCATGGATCAGGGCTCAATGGAGCTTGGGATGCCCAAGGAAAGCACTCCTCCCAGACAGACTCAGGAAGACTCTGCCTCCAGGGCCCTGAGCACCCCACAGATACATCCACAGAAACACATGTGCCTTCCCAGCCTGGCAGGTGGCACTGAACAGACGACTATGCAATCATCCTCAGGACAGGCCTAGGATCTTCCTAATGAGCACTGCCTTAATTTCTTACGCAGCAGATTTTAAAATTCATCCTAAATCATCCAGATGGTCATCAAGAACCAGTATCCCTTCAACCCAAAATACTCAGTAAACAACTTCTATTTCACTACCGGTCTCTCTCCCACTGGTAAAATTAAAACCAACTTTTTTTTTTTTTTTTTTTTTTTTGGAGACGGAGTTTCGCTCTTGTTACCCAGGCTGGAGTGCAATGGCGCGATCTCGGCTCACCACAACCTCCGCCTCCTGGGTTCAAGCAATTCTCCTGCCTCAGCCTCCTGAGTAGCTGGGACTACAGGCACGCGCCACCATGCCCAGCTAATTTTTTTGTATTTTTAGTAGAGACGGGGTTTCACCATGTTGACCAGGATGGTCTCAATCTCTTGACCTCGTGATCCACCCGCCTCGGCCTCCCAAAGTGCTGGGATTACAGGCTTGAGCCACCGCGCCCGGCCTAAAACCAACTTTTTAAAGGTAACCATTTTCTGTCCCTGTTTTAATTTCTTCCAGTAGCTTTACAGAGAAAAAAACCTGGGTCCTTTGTGATTCCTTTCTTGAGTAAGGCTGCTAGGAAACTGTCTTGGCATGACAAGGGAGATGAGTTGGGGATGTCACAGAGCGTCTGTCAACAGAACACCAGGCCAGGAACCCCATACACCACACCCGACATCTGTGTGTGGCAGCGCTGGGGGCTGTTTACTGCGATGTGCTGATGCTGGTTCGTAATCCTCTCACACACCCATCCAGCAGGGCCGGTGTCCCTCCGCTGACCACACACAGCCCAGCTTGCATCATCTCCATGACGACTCAGTGCTAGTGTGGAGGAGGCCCGTCGGCAGCTGTGTCTGTACAGAAGTACGTGCTCACCACTCGCCTGCAGCGGGGTCTCCAAAGGAACAGGCACTCTCAGCCTTCAGCCCAAGTAGACATCATCACCAAAAGAAACACAAACTACCCAGCCCTGTGAGTGCCACACACAGTTAGAGGCAAAGGGGGCTCCCTGCGGCCCACACACCAGGAATGTGGTATGGAGCTGCTGCGTGCTGGCGGGTCTGTGCAGGCGGCTAGCTTTGTGCTTGCCCTCATGGTACCCCACACAGTCCTGCTTCTGTACCGGCTCTTCAGGGTTCCATCCTTCAGAAGGTCTTGCTTTTCAGAGGTACCCTCAGGGGATGTGTAGCTATCAGCTCCAAGACCCAGTTTTTGGTTGGGCAATTGCTAGAGATTTTGCCTAGACAAGCAAGCAACAGCTTACTAGGAAACAGGCTATCAGAGAGTCACTGCAGAGGGCTGTGGGGGTTCTGACCCAAGGGTATGTCTTTTTCCACAGACCAGGGAGGGATAAGTCCAGGCCAGACAGCTGGCCAGAGGCAGAGTGGCTGCCCTGAGTGGTAGGGACAGGAGGCCTGGCCATGACACAGGGATGGGACAGGGCAGCACCCAATGTCATTCAGTGTCAGACATGGCTCACCCATACCAAATGTACCCAAAGACCCCATGATCTGAAAATTATCAATCACCACGCTGAAAGAGCAGACACAAAGGAAAATCCAGGGCTGTGAGTGTGTGTGTGTAGCAGTTAGAATCTCAGTTCTGCCTTGGGATGATTCTAGCCACATTCAGTACTCAAGTTATAGGATACTCACATTCAATTCAGATTTGTACAGCATTTTAAAGGTGATCAGATACATTGTGGGCCTCAAATATTGATACCACAGAAGTCCACATGACTTGCTGTGTAAACAGGCAGTGAATTGGCAGAGGGGAGCTCTTGGTCCTAAACAACAATGCAGCGCCCACCATGTATCTGGATATGGGGCTTCTGGCATTCTGGAAACCACGTGGGGCCTCACCCCATTGTTGGATTATACCACACTCCAGAAGCTCCTGGCTGGTATGCCATAGTTACAACTTGACTATCTTGAGTTTGAGAGGTTGCCTGGGCTCTGTTCACTGCTGTCATGTTGGCTGACAGCAAAGTATCAAGTTGATTTACAGGAAAGTGAACAGCAAAGTGGTCTGCATCCATTGCTTAAAACTCTTACTCCAAAAGCCAAATGCGAACTGTTTTTACTCTAGAGTTTTGAGCTTTTGTGTTGAGATTTTCTTTGCACATCCCTCTAGGTTCCTCCTGGGAGGAGCTGTGTCTCTGAGGAAGGAGACTTCCACAGATTTCACACCAAACAAGGTAGGAGGCTCCTGGGTGTGGGGCCCGGGCTTTTCTGGAGCAGTTCATTCCTGGTTTCCTGTTGCTTTTCCATTTCAAGCTGGCAAACCTTGTTTTACTCATTAGCAGACACTCCAGGAAGCTGAGCGCACACCCTCACTGCTTCTGGCTCTCTGCCTGCACTTCGCCCTGTTCACTGGTTGGGTGCTTGAGCTGCGAAGGAATGGATCAACACTGACTCTGCTTTAGAGTAATGTATACTCAGGACAGCGTCAGGCACTTAGTATATGCTCAATGAAGGGTGACTCAGAAAATGGAATAAACGTATAAAAGAAATTGCGATTCAGAAGCAGGACCCACTTAGTCATGGAGGGCCTGGCAAGCGTCTCTCTCCTGATGCTATGTGAGGCGGGCAGGCCGGCACAGGCTCCTCTTGCAGGTTCCCTGGCCACTCCCTCCTACCAGCGCTCTGTCACTGTGACTTCTGTCTGTAACGGTTTTTGTTTTTTATGGGCAGGAATGCCTGGCCCAGCATCCCCAACTAGAGAAAGGTCAATTTATGTACGAGGAGTAACAGTCCAGGAATGATCTCCAAAGGATGCTCCAGACACCGCCTGCATGGCCTGGATACGGGGCCAAGACGCCTACATTGCACCTCTACTTAGCACTTAGTATCTCTGGGTTGTCACGCCCTGTACCTATGGCCTCATGGGATGACATCCGTTTTGACCTGAAACGGCCACACTGCCCCGGGCTATCACTTCTGATCACAGAGGAATAGATGGGTTCTACTCACCCTCCTGTCCACGTAACTCCAGTGGCTCAGAGCCCTGGCTCAGGCAGTGGAAGCCAGAAGAAACGTTTCCTTCTCTGTGGCAGCTGCGGGCACCCTCACCTGGTCCTACAGCAGGAATCATGGTGACTCTGCGAGCTTGCCTGTCCCACTGGGCAGCTTTCTGCCTCTGAATGGCAATCCTCCCCATACCCGGCACTCTAAGAGGGCTGCTTGCCACCTCAGGTGACCACAGACTCGCCTTAAGCAGGTTACACCTCAGGTTTCCCAGCCTAACCAGCACCCCCACCCCCCAGATCTTCCTTGTGATGGGCCACATCCTGCCCCAATTTGCTGATCATCAATCCAAACTTGCCTCGAACATCCCCAGGTGGGGCTGAGGCTGCTGGGAGGAGGGTGGCTGGGTGGAGAGGAGGGACTGGTGCCCCTGCCCTGTGGCAGCCAAGCTCACTGCATCCTGCTTCCTTCAGCTTCAGACAGTAGCTTCCATCTGTAATCTAGTAAGTATGTCATCACACTCTCTTTCCTAGGGCTTCATTAATTTCCATACAGCCAGGAATTCTCTGTACAACCAGCTTATTAGTAGTAGTTACATTTTGCTTTCCTGGGAGGGGACAAGGGGATACTGGGACTGAGGCTGATGTAATTAACAAATGCCTGAGCACATGAGCATTCTGGAGTCTTGGTCCCAATTTCTAAAATGCACAAGTATCTTGGCAACTATCTTCAGTGCCCCTCACCCCTCTCCGCTGCTCTGTCCCCCAGGCTGGAGTACAGTGGCGTCATCTCACCTCACTGTAACCTCTGCCTCCCTAGTTCAAGCAAATCTCCTGCCTCAGCCTCCTGAGCAGCCAGGACTACAGGCACACACCACCATGCCTGGCTAATTTTTCTGTTTTTCGTAGAGATGGGGCTTCACCATGTAGGCCAGGCTGGTCCCCAACTCCTGGGCTCAAGTGATCAATCCTCCAGCCTTGGCCTCCAACGTGCTGGGATTACAGACATGAGCCACCATGCCTGGCTTGGCAACTATCTTTTAAGCCCTACCTAGTGCTTAAAGTCAGAAGAAAGGAGGGCTGGATTCTTAAAGGGTTAGGAGGATGCAGTCGGCCAGCAGAGCCATGGAGAAGCACCAATGTTTTCTGGAAATTACACAGTTTGTGGAAGGCTCCCTCTGTTCTCTGGAGGGAAGGCAAGGTTTTCCCATCTTGGCTGCTGCTATCCTGCCTTGTTTGGTTATGTCATTTCAAAATACCATCAAAATACCATGAACAAGAACTTGGGAATGTGCCTCCATCACAGTAGGCGCTCCCAGGGCAAAGGCTGGAGAGGACCCTCGCCCTGTGGTCCCTCTCCCCCGAGGAACCTGCTTATGATGCCCGCGCTTCCAACACCACTCAGACAAAATCCACATGCAGCCTTTGTGCCTAGTGGCTTCACGCAGTAAGAACACAGTGCAGGCCAAGAGAAAGGGCGATGCCTGGGAGGAGCTGTCCACAAGCCTCATCACCTGGGCATGTCCTAGGGCTCAGAAAGTCCTCCTCCTACATTTGTATCCCCCAGAAAATGAAAAAAGATACAGATGCTTCCTGGCTTATACTAGGGTTACATTTTGAGAAACCCAACATAAATTGAAAATATCATTAGGTCTAAAATTCATTTAATACACCCAACATGACAAATCTCATAGCATAGCCTGGCTCACCTTAAACATGCTCAGAACATGCACATTAGCCTACAGTATGTAACATCATCGGACTCAAAGCCTTTTTTAATAATAAAGTATTAAATAGCTTATGCAATTTATCGAACACTGCTTGAAAGTGAAAAACAGAGTGGTTGTGTGGGAACTCAAAGTACAGTTTCTACTGAATGTGTATTGCTTCTGCACCATCTTGAAATTAAAAATCATTAAGTGGAACCATGGTAAGTCGGGGACCACCTGCATCTCACTTCAGCAGACAGGGCTCAGGGTTGTCAATTCCACACAGAAACCACTGGGGAAGATAAACCATTCTAGCCTGCCCGTCCGCTCCATCTCTTTTAACATCAAAAACACCAGCAAAAGTGATGACCAAAGGAGGTGAGTGGAGCCTCCCAGCCCCCTCCTCCCCATCTGCCCCTTCTCTGGGCTCCAGGTGGGATTGGGTTACAGGCCAGAAGACTCCATCACTCACAGAG